TTGGACCAAGGGCTACATAAACCAACTTCCTCCAGTACATCATCTACGTCCACGGCGGTGACTACTTCGACTGGGATGACCCGGGTACCCAGGAGCGGTCAAACTGATGCACGACCTGATCAATACTACGAGGTCGCGCCGCGGGCGATTCTGGCGGATGACTACGGAGCGCTGCACAGAAACTGCTCGATGGCAAGCTCGCCAGCACGATAACCTGGGACTGGATCGTCAGCGTAGCGTAAGCCAGGGCAAGTACGGCTCCGAACTGATCGTCGCGGAAACGCCGAAATGTCGGACGATGCGGACAGCGACATCACGCTCATGGGCGCCTGGCTGTACGTCCTCAGCTCCGCTTCGGAGCGCAAGGGACGCGGCCAAGAAAGGGTGTTGGGATACATGCTTCTGAGGAGGCTGCCACCGCCGAGGCGAAAATGGTCGGCAACGCCGTGCCGCTCAGAAGCGATTCGTTGGAAGACCGGTCTTCAACGATCCGGAGAATGGCCCGCCGTTCCGATCCTCAAGGACATGAACGCCCGTGACAAGCTGTGGGCCCCGGCGATGGCTGGCCGCATGAGCGACATATTGGACAGCACCGAGAATTCGCTGTACGAGTACCCTCAACCAAAACATCGACCTGGAAGAGGCGGTGAAGAGAGCCAACAGAGAGCTCGACAGACTGTTGGCGCGGTCGCTAGGCCAAGACCGACACTTCGCAGGCAGCGGCACTTGGAAGCGTGCGCCCTTCCGCATCACGCGGAGGGCGCACCTGCGTACAAGGGGGCAACATGCCAATCCCCGGGCAACGAATTCGACCGCGAAAAAGAAGAAAGTTGCTCATCGCCTGGCTGCTCTCTGCCGGTGCTGGTGATCCGGCTTGCCACGCACCGCGTATCCACCTTCTCGGTCTTCTGGTACAGCCTGAGAGATTACAGCTTTCTGCTGCGATCAACGAGTTCATCGGCTTCCAGAACGTTGCCTACCTCGTTACCGATCCGAGATCGGCAACGCCTTTTCCTTTACCTTTGTGTTTACGTCGTTTCCATCGCCCTGATGCTGCTCGGAGGTATCGCGCTCGCCCATCTGCTCAACGTCCAGTTCGGAGGCCGCAGGTTTCTGCGCACCACGGCTCTCATACCCTGGGCTCTGCCGATTGATCGTGGGCCGGTATCGCAGCTCGATGGGCTTCAATGACGTCTACGGGATCGTAACGACCTCGTGCGCCGTTTCGCGCCGCCGACTTTTCACTACGACTGTGCTCGTTTCGCCGGTAGCGCACAGCCGCAATAATTGCGGTCGACTCTGGAAGAACGTTTTCTTCTTTGCCATTCTCACCCTGGCGCCTGCAAATGTTCCAACCGAGCTGTACGAATCCGCCAAGATGGGATGCGCGCGGGTCCACCACGCTGCTGGTTCGCATACACAGATACAACTGTTTATTGTGTTATCACAATATTACTGCGTCGGGACATCGTAATTCAGGAACGTGCATGTATGAAACCGGTCTATTTACCAACGAGGCGTTCGTTTCGGTGGGTGCCGATCCTTCGGCGGAACATGATTCGGCTCGCTCCGGTGTCCGCTTCTCTGAATGCAGGATAGGGAAGACATCGATCGGATGTGCGAAACAGAGTGCGGCGGCACCAACCGCCTAGGCACACCACCGGCGCCCGTCATAGTATGTGCTGCATCCATTCAGGTGTTTCTGGAGCCGCAACAGTCTCAACACTTTCGGTGTCCGAACTGCGTCCAGCACTATTTGCATCGCTATCGGTGTTCACAATCATGTAATTGCGGATCATCTCACCGTAGTAAATCTGTGGAGATTCTACCGTTAGTTCTTCATGTTCACTATGTATCGGCGTATCCTTGACCCAGAGTTTCGGTAGACCTTCGCCAACGAACTCGTTCACCGGTGCGACACACACGCCATAGCCGTGCGTAAATGAGCGCAGATCCGTTTTCAGGCGGTCCCAGCCTGTAATCTCGGGACCCGGATCAATTCACGTGCGGCTATCAAAACCTGCCGATATTCACCATCGACTGTATATCTATCGACATCGGTATAGGGGTGGAAGTTGTATGCGGTTTAATCTGTGTCTCTCGGAGTGCCTCGTACAGCACGCGTCGATCCCAAATCTGGATGTTCTTCTTGACCTCGGCGTTTTCCGTTATCATTTCCAGCGTTGCAATCCCAAGTTCGCGGTCGACCCTCACGATCTTATCGAGATCAAAGGCGCGGCGTGTCTCTTTGATATGACGCTGCAAGTACCGTCCCTCCTTGAGAAACGGTTCCACACGCATACGTACCACGTGGATCCCAACGGATATACGTGAATCAGCAGCACGTAACTCAATCCCCACACAGCCACAGTTACATACCACACACAGCCGTTTCCGCCAGAAAATGTTGACCACGATAACCACGGCGATGCCTATCAGCACACCACAATAAATCTTCGTGGCACTCGCAAGGTGGAAGTCCACGTAAAACAAGCCGTGGAGCGTTCGCAGTCCATTCGTCAGTGGTTTCGTGTAGACCTTGTTCCAGAGGTACGCGTGACTCCGCCACCCCGCAACGATCAGCAGCAACAGCCATAAAACCGAGCCGTGGAAGAGGATATGTCGCTTCACACGTGACATCGATGTGCGTCTCGACGGTAGTAGAAATGATATAGCAACCCGACGACAACACACGTTACCCACAGCGTTACCTGTACCCAGAGGCTCACCCATCGGTGGAGAGGGAAGCTGAAGAGGTAGAAATTCCGGTCCATCCCGAAATGGAGAGATCCCGCCGCTGCCTTCTTCGCTGGCGAGATTTCCTAACCTCGCCACTGCTGCATCCGGGTTGATTCAGGGTGTACCGAAGCACCACATCGTCCAACAGGAGCATCGGTGCGGCGAGCAGGAGTGCCGCAATCAGCGTGATCCAGATCACCATCCGATGGAAAGAGAAGGTCTGTATATAGGTCCACCGTCGAAACTCGCGGGATTCCGGACACAACATATTGGCGATCGCCGTGTTGGCGTTCATAAATCCGGCGGCGACAATGAAACAGACACCGAAGATGCCCCACCGGACCTTCTGGAGTCCCCAAAATACATCGGCGTATCCGACGTTTTCGAACCAGAGGTGTTCTGTATAGAGGTGCGCCAAAGGGATGAAGCAACTGAGCGTGATGAGCGCGCTCAGCGTCCAGAGCAGATACGCCTGCAATTTGTTATGGACACCGCGCCGCCAGTAAACCGCTCCGGCGATACCGAAAGATGCCCCATATTAAGGTAACACCGATAAGGAGTGTACTTAAAAGTAACTGTATGATTGCAAGTCTGCTGTCATGATGAAATGCCTCCTATGAGACATTATAGCATAGTTGTAGGGGTTTGGCAAATTTGGCTGTCAGCGGTCAGCCGTCAGCGGCGTTCAGTTATCAATCAAGACGTTTCTATAATCCAATCCTGTAAATCCTTTAATCCTGTAAATCCTGATTCTGACAAGAATTATTTGACAAAAAACAGTGCGTATGGTATAATTAATACCAATTCAACCGCACAAACGCCGAAATACGCGTTTTTTACACTGCGTTGAAAGAAAATACTTGACAAAAACACCGAATTTCGGTAAAAATCTCTACTTATGAAAGAACGTGTTGACTTTTTTTCGTAACTATTTTACAATTACGGGTGTTAAAAAGGGATATGAGTATGGAGACCGAGTTCTCGCCAAAAAACCGAGAATCGGAACGCTCCCAGTTCCAAACACGTTTTTCAAGAAAAATTTGACAAAAAACGCAAGTTGGGGTACAATGATAACTGTACGTTAGATCGTAATGATCGAGAGACCCAACAACATTTTCAAGACGTATTTACAACGTATTTACATTAATAACAACGTTTATACAAGTGGTTTGGCTCAATCTATAGCGATGTGTTACACACCGTCATATAACGAGAATCCCAGACCCAAATTTCCGAGCGTGTTCCGAAGACATCTACCCTTACCGGTAGGCGAGGTTCCCTAACCTGTAGCCTTCAAAGGCACGCACTAAAGGTTAGTTCAGAATAGATTTCATCCCTGAAAATCTGTTCTTACTGTTTGATAATGAAGCACACGATGTGAAGTGTGCAGGGGCATGGATCCCTACTGCCCTACGATATTTGATATACGAACGTTTTTTAGTTTGATTTAAATGGAGGAAAATTAGTAATGTTGTCTAATAAATTGACATTTTCCTTGAAAATTTTAGTTGTGATGCTGGCGCTCGCCTTCGTTGGACATTCCGCAATGGCGGCTGAGTTCGGCGTGACGACTGAGCGTAGGCGCAGTTGTTGACGCATTAGGTTCTGCGATAATCCAAGTGGATGAACAATTGACCTTGAGATACTGGCGATCAGATTAATCTGTGAAATTCTCATACGTTAAGTTTGACCAGTGGTAAATGCTGATGCTACATGCCGCTAACGCTACGGGATGACGCAGTGGCACTAAATTCGCAAGGACGACCTTCAGGTTATCGCCTACATGAATTTGGCGGATAGGGACGCTCTAACGATTACCGAGGTCCTACAGCTGCTATACGTGCAGATGGTAAGACTTCACAATAGAGTTAGGTGCACCTGCTGCAGACGCTGACAGTAGTTCTCGTATTTCTTGCGAAACATAAGGTTTGAGGTCGCGATCCGCGTGCTTCCTTACTGATGGTGCCAGAAACGCTGATGGTAAGAGTGCTGAAGCATCCATAGCGATTCACTATGTAGCAGGAGAACCTGAAGGTGAAGCTGGTGATCCGGCGGTGTATTCTATTCGGAGAGCCAGTGATCCGTTGCTACCTGTTACGGCTGCTACGGAGAATCGTCATCATCTTGCTCAGTGAACAGCCGAAAGCGTTCACGAAGGATAACGTGGATGTCACAAACGCAACATGGGTCGATCCTGTCGCTTTGGTAGCGATACCTGAAGTTACAGGTGAAACTGATGCATGCTGTCTACGGGTCGTGACATGAAGCTGTATCCTTATGTTTTGACGATTACGCCGAAGTATGTGAACAAGGACGACATCGTCGTAAAAGTCAAAGCGTTTGAAGATCTGGTCCTGCCTACCGCAATGAAGTATTCCGTACCTGCAAGGGAAGCGGATTATATGGAAGGTAAGAGTAAGCTTACCATCAAGGTCGGCAAAGAGGCTCCGGTAGCCAAAGCCGAAGGCTTTAAGTTGGCTTTACCCGAAAAGAAAGTCATCCCCGGTAGCGGTTACTTAGTCGTTGCCGAAGAAAAAGCTGGCTCCTCAGTCCACGTGCCTCCTGGTGCGATTGATGCGGCTCCAAAGTCACACGAACGGACCCCTGCCGAATTGATTTACAACGTCATTGACGATGGCGATCTTCCGAACTTGGAGACGTTCCTCGCTAACGGCGGCGTGATTGATGTCATGAGTCCACACGCCTTGGTTATCTCTGAGGTGATGTGGGGCTCCGATGCGAGTATAGTCGATGACCATTCTAAGAGTCAATGGATTGAGTTGTATAATGCGGGTGCTGTGTATACGACTGTGGCAGAGGACGCAGCGACAGATGCCTATGAAGCCACTTATTTGGTCTTTTACGGTCCAAACGAAACACCCCCCGCGATGACGGCTGCTGTGGCTGCGACTGCGACTACCGCCGCTGTCCCCGCTGCATTGCCCGCGGGTGTTACCGACCGGATCGGCACGATTGATGCGTTAGGTGCCTATTGGTCGATCGCAGGTAAAGGTCAAAGCGGTCGGACGGGTGCTGGCGAAGAGGCAGCGGATTTAACTGCTATTATTCCGACACAGCCGATTATCTCGATGTATCGTATGATGGATGCGACAGGTAAAGTGGCAGACGGCACGCTGGCAGCGAGCTGGATGCAGTCTTCACCACCGAACCTCAACTTTGACCGGAATCAATCTGGCAACCGTGTCGGATCACCGGGTTCCTCACGTCTCATCACGGCTGCTGCCGCCGCTGCGACTGCCGCCGCTGCGAAAGCGAAAGCTGAGCCGCTGCCGCTGCTGCTGCGAAAGCCGCCGATACCTCAATCTCGATGCCGCAGGTCGGTCAAATCTACATCAGCGAATTATGTTCGCTGGTGGTGGCACACTGCCACAGTGGATTGAGATCTCCAACGGTTCACGGACAGAACAGGTGAATCTGAGTGGTTGGACGCTGACGGTCGAGAATGCGACTGCCGATGCCGATGTAAGTGTCGGTTCCAAAGCCGTGTTCACGATTCCTGAAGGCACGAAGATCGATCCGAGTGGTCAGAGCGATACTCCGTCAACGATACTCGTTGTCACCGAACAGGGACGTAACAACATTGACGATGGTGCAAAGGGAGCGGTCAGATTCTCAACCTCTGGACTGCGCAGCAGACGGAACTGATTCTGCTAGGTGTGACGAAACGTCGTTATTCATTGTTGAGCGATATGGCGTTCCAAATAACGCTTGCACCCCCGGTTCCGATTGTAGCTCCTGCAGCGAAAACGCAGCGCCCGACAACGGCAGCCGGAATCGCAGCCGCGAGAACCGCCGCCGCCGCGAAGGCAGCAGCTGATGCGACAGCCGCTAAGGCACGCGCAGATGCGACGGATGTTGCAGGTAACCTCGGTACTGCTGGCACAGCCACATGGGCATTGCCGATGGACGAGGGTGCCCGTAGCTCGATTATCCGTAGACACGTTCCCGTTTCTATCGGTGCAGCGGCACCGGAAGCCGGCGAAATGATGGATTCCTGGGCACTTGCCTCGGATACGAGTTTCGCACAAATCACGCATATCCGTGCGAGTAGCTACTACGGCTCGGCGGACGATGTCGGCACACCTGGATTCCGTGCTGGTGGTGCGTTGCCTGTTGAACTTTCACACTTCCGTCCTGCCCGTAATAAAGACACAGGCGCAGTGGTGATTACATGGTCGACGCAATCGGAGTTGAACAACGCTGGATTCTTTATCAAGCGGAGTCAGCAACGCGATGGCGAGTTCCAAATCATCAATGCGACAATGATCCAAGGCGCAGGGTACAACCAGTGAAAAGCAGTTCTATACATACAGGATACGACTGCTCAACCCAATGTCGTCTACTACTACCAGATAGAGGATGTTTCTCTTGACGGTAATCATCAGACGCTGACGCGTGGCATCCGCCTGAAAGGGCATATCGGTGCCGCCGGTAAAGCAACGGTGCTGTGGGGCGACTTGAAGACACAAGAGTAAACTCAGGGATATTTCTAACTAACCTAACCCAAAACCAGAGCGGTGGACTTCGGTTCACTGCTCTGGTTTTTTCTGTGCCTGACCAAATCAGCGAGGTTCGGAAACCTCGCCACAGCGGTGCGAAGGATGATGCGGTGACTTCGGTTTGCCGCCCTGTTTTTTGTCTTCTGCAGGAGCGATTTTTAGTCGCGATATTCCTCTCCAGCCTGTAGGAGTGGTATGTGTATAGAAGCGTGTAGAATTTCGCTTGACTTCTAAAGGAGAAATGGATAAAATCAATAGAATAAAACATCTGATGAGGAGATGAAAATGAGAACAGTTAAATTAGGCTTGATTGGGGCGGGTGGTATCTCGGGGGCACACTGTCGAACGCTTGCTGAGATCGACGGTGCTGAGATTATCGCTGCTGCCGACCTCGTCCCTGCAAACCTGGAGCGTGCGCAAGAGCAGTGGGACATCAAACGTACGTTTACCGATTACAACGAAATGCTCAAAATGGACGAGATTGAGGCGGTGTACGTCTGTACGCCCACTGGTGTGCATGCGGCACCTACCGTCGCCGCGCTGAACGCTGGCAAACATGTTTTCTGCGAGAAACCGATGGAGGCGACGTTGGATGCTGCCGCCTCAATGTGGCGTGCGGCAAAAGAAAACGATAAAATCCTCATGGTCGGTTTGAAACTCCGGTATTCACCACAGGTCATTAAAGCGAAAGAGATTGTTGACGCTGGCACCCTTGGCGATATTTACTATGTCGAAACGGTTGCAGATCGACGACGTGGAAATCCGGGTGGTAGCTTTATCCGCAAGGCGACAGCCGGTTTAGGCGCGTCTGCAGACATTGGTGTTTACGCACTGGATACCGCTCTTTATCTAATGGGACATCCCAAGCCTGTAGCGGTTTCATGGTATTACCTCTAACTATCTAAGCCTACACAACACGTGGAATCCTGCGCTTAAAGAGACCGAAGTTGAAGATTTCGGTGTCGGCTGGGTGGTTTTTGAGAACGGTGCGCGCATGGTCTTCAAGACGTGCTGGTGCATGAACATGGATTCACTCGGTGGGACGATTTTCCTCGGCAAAAAAGCGGGGATCCGCCTCGGTATTGGCGAAGTTCGTGGACCACAGGACGGTGTACGCGTCTATGGCGACAAAGATGGTGAAATTTTTGACCAGGAGTTCACCGAGTTTGAATCGGTGAGTGTATTCCATGAGGAAGATACGGCGTTTATTGATGCTGTCCGTGAAGGAAAACCTTCGCCGATCGATCCTTACGGTGTGATGCTCACGAACGTTATCATCCAAGGCGTTATCGATTCCTCAAACGCCAACGGACGGGAAGTTGCAGTGACAGTGCCGACCTTGTAATATCGTAGGGCGAGGTCTTTGTGCCTCGCACCTTCGAGCGGTATTTGTTTACTATCCTTTTTCACCCTTACAGACTCTATTATGTGTACGGATGTAGGGAAATAGTGCGGTGCGGTTTGCAAGCTGATATTCAACTGTAACCCACGCTCTGACGGGGAATGTTGCGAGTTTGTTCCTTTCAATGTAGCACGTGGGATATTTCCCGTAAAAAGCGCGGAGGTTTTTCAGGATAAAGTCTATCAAAATTGCATGGGAAAAATTCAAATCGGCACCCGGGATGGCTCGAATACACGCTCTCTTCTTCGAGATGGATAGGCTCTTTTCCAACCTGTCGAGTCATAGTCAACGAACCAGAAAGCAAAGGATGAATTCGCCAATGAAGTCTATTGAGATTGCGGGGAAAGAATTCAAATTAGGATCTCGACTGGCGCGGTTATACGCGCTCTTCATAGATTTTACCTGCTTATCTGTCGTCCAAATAATTTCGATCTGTTTGATGCGATTGGTAGCACATATTATTTCTCCACCGATGTGGTATCGTCCGGAAGGTGCTTTTCAAGGTTTCATATTAGGAACTTTCGTTTTTAGCAGCTTGGCTATGTGGGCATTCGGTTTGCTTTTCATAGATGGCTTCAGGAAGGGGCAAGGGATAGGAAAGAAACTGCTGTCCTTACAGGTGCTCCGTTTGAAAGACGGCAAACCGTGTACTTTCAAAGATGCTTTCATTCGCCGGTTCGCAGGTGTTTTTCAGCCGCTGGATTTTTTCTGGACACTCGGTAGAAAACGGCAACGGATCGGCGATAAGTTAGCAGAGACAGTTGTCGTGAAATATGAGCCGGAACTGGAACAGGCTGAGGTTGAAACTGAAGACCCGGAAAAAGTCTTAGAGGGTGTTATCGCTGCGATGAAAAACAAACTTGTAGAAGCACGCGGAAAGGTTAATGCCTCTATCGGCGTTGAAAAACAGTTTCAGGACGCTTATGAAAGTGCTGTTTCCCAAGCGGAGCGGTGGCAAGAGCGCGCACTCATTTCCCTTAAAGCCGAACGCGAGGATTTGGCACGCGAAGACATCGAAAAACGAAACGAATACCGACGATTAGCAGACAAACACAAAATGCAATGGGAAGAACAGAAACAGATTGTCCAAGAACTTAGCAACCTTCTTGAGCATTTTCAGCAGAAAATGATGGAGGCGGAAGGAGAGAAAGCCGCCGTCGTAGCGAAACACAGGAACGTTGATGCCGAAGCACACCTTCGCGAGATGCTCACAGAGATACAGGACAGTAAAGCACTCGAAACACTTGTACAGATGGATCAGGATGCGATTGAGGCAGCCACTTTGGCGAAAGCGGCGGCTGAGGTGGATGTTGCGTATCAGGATGCGAAATTGGAGCGTGAATTTTCGAGTTATGCCGAAGAGGCATTGCTTGATAAGGACCTCGCTGAATTAAAGGCGAAATTACAGTAGGCGTGATCTATAATCGCCATACCCCTTTCAGGAACTATAATGGATAAACGTACTTCTTTAGGTGCGCCTGCCAATAGCGCACCACAGCCAAATATTGTCTTTATCATGGCAGACGACATGGGATACGGTGATGTTGGCTGCTATAACCCCGATTCAAAGATTCCGACCCCGAATATGGATAAACTGGCGCAGGAGGGAATTCGCTTCACCGATGCGCACTCCCCCTCCGCAGTCTGTACGCCGACACGATACGGAGTCCTAACGGGACGGTACTGCTGGCGAAGCCGTCTTAAACATGGCGTGCTTTACGGGTACGAGCGACCCCTCATCGAACCCGAACGCCTAACCGTTCCTCGATTGCTGAAAGATGCGGGTTACAATACTGCATGCGTGGGTAAGTGGCATTTGGGTCTTGGATTTTCGACAGTACCGGGATACGATTTCGATTTCAACGCTCCGCTGCCGTGGCAGAACGCAGAACGTGAATTGGAAGAACATATCGATTTCACCGCGCCATTAACCGGTGGTCCAGTAGATCTCGGCTTTGACTACTTTCTATGGAAACGCCGGTTGCCCGACCTGTCAACCCCCTTACGGCTTCATTGAGAACGATACGTTTGTCGAGATCCCGAACGTCTATCACGAGGTGCCAGAGTTTACGAGCCGCCGTGGAATGATGGTCCCAGGATGGGAGCATAAGGATGCCGATCCGATTATCGCGCAGAAGGCGGTTGAATATATTGAGAGACAATCCGATGCCGATGCCCCTTTCTTCCTTTATCTAACTCCCTCCGCGCCACATGAACCTTGTACAGAGGCAGTCGTTCCAGATTTCGCACGTGGTAAGAGCAGTGCTGGTCCGCGCGGGGATATGGTGTGGCTTGTCGATTGGATGGTAGGTGAGGTAATGGATGCGTTAGCACGTACTGGCAAAACCGATGAGACGCTCATCTTCGTCACGAGCGATAACGGGGCATTGCCCGGCGACCGAATCCAGGCGACAATAGCCCAATGCCGTATCACCTCTATGACCATAAATCGTGCGGCGATTGGCGCGGGCTATAAGGCGCATATCTGGGAAGGCGGACATCGTGAACCTCTGATTGCGCGCTGGCCCGGAGTTATCGCACCAAATACTCAAACCGACGCATTAACCTGCCTCACAGACCTGATGGCGACGTGTGCCACTATTGTTGGACAGAAGTTCCCGACGATGCGGGACAGGACAGTTGTAATGTCTTACCTGCGTTGTTAGGTGAAGAGACAGAAAGCCCCTTGCGGGAGGCAATCGTGCATCACTCCAGTGCCGGTGTCTTTTCTATCCGTCACGGCGAGTGGAAGTTGATACTGGGTACACACAGGGTTCAGGCGGGTGGCCTCCACCGCGCGACGGAGGTCCGAAATCGGATGTCTCAGGGCAACTGTATCAGATTTACGAGGATCCGGGTGAAACGAACAATCTGTGGGACAAAACCACCCGGAGAGTTGTGGGATCGATTGACGGCGTTGCTGGAGAAGTTTAAGCGGGATGGATACAGTCGGATGTGAGGAGACCCATAAAAATCTATGAAGCACAACCGCCAATGCATAAGGAGTTATGACTATGGAAACCACTACCAAACTTGATTCACTTTTCCGATTATCTGGTCCGTCGCAGACGGATATCGATTCTTTTCATAACAATGGCTACATCGCGTATCCAGATGTGTTCACAGACGACGGTAGAGAAGGATTGATTGAGGAAATCACGCAGCGTTTTGAACCAACGCGTCAGTACATTGAGACGTTGAATAACGGTGAGGAACAGCAGCGCTCCTATTTTATTCGTCCATGGAACGATCGCGGTGACTATAGCGATCGGCTTATCGATGACCCTTTCATTACGGCAGTGATACACGCAACTATCGGCGACGCATACCACTTCTGCCACTCTGCACTTAACATCGCACCCCGCGGGATCGGTCCGCTTGGATACCACCAGGACCATCACCATTGGAAGCATGAGAATCCGATCAACCTCGCCGAGCGTGACAACTACTACATCCAGATTCTGTACTATCCGAACGGCTTCACACGCGGCGATCGGAACCTCAAAGTTATCTCGGGCAGCCACAAGGTCGCTCCGACAAAGGAAGCGACACCGGAACGGATGCTCGCAGGTGACTTTGACGCAGAAGCCGGACGCAAATTGGAAGAGAAACGGCTTGAATTACCACCGGGTAGCATGGTCTACATTGACGCCCGCATTTTCCACGCAGTGGAGGCGAAACCTATAGATTCTCCGCAGCCCTATCGTATCTTCAATATTGACATCTTCAAGGAAGCAGGTCCACCGCACCGTTATACGCAAGAGATCCCAGCGGAATGGATTGAATGTGCCTCTCCAGAACGTAAGAAGTTGCTCATTCGCGACGCTTATACAGAAGGGTGTTGGAGCTAAAATTTGTTTGATGCGATTCCTGTTCCCTACCCCCGAACAGGGTTCTCCGTAATGCTCTGTAGCGTCGGGAATCGGAGTTCCCTCCTACAGAGGAACTGAATGCCCTAATGGTTTGGCGATCCTATTGACTTAAATCGCTGGTTGCGGTAGAATCGTTGCCAAAACAGGAGTCATAATGAGCACACCAGATCGCCCGAACATTCTTTGGATCTCTTTAGAGGATACGACCCCCGTTTCGGTTGTTATGGGGATACGCTGGCGCGGACACCGAATATCGACCGACTTGCTGCTGGCGGCTGTCGGTTTCCGAATGCGTTTTCGACTGCCGGTGTCTGTGCGCCGAGTCGCTCTGCGATCATTACCGGCATGTACCAGACTTCCATTGGTACGCATCACATGCGCACAGCGCACACAAATCAAAACACGCCCGACATGCCGACCCCATATTCTGCAGTACCGCCCCCTTATGTCAAAACCTTTACCGAATATCTCAGGGGCGCGGGCTATTACTGCACAAATAACAGCAAGACTGATTATCAGTTTACACCGCCAATCACGGCTTGGGACGAGTGTAACAACACTGCGCACTGGCGAAATCGTGAAGCGGGACAATCCTTCTTTTCGGTCTTCAATCCGACTGTTACGCACGAGAGCGGTATGTGGGAACGGGAGGATCGCCCGTTGACCACAACTACGAATCCGGATGACGTACAACTACCGCCCTATCTGCCGGATACACCGAAAGCACGGCAAGCGTTGGCACGTCAATACGATAACCTCGCCACTGCTGATGCCCGCGTCGGTGAACTACTCGATCAGTTGGAAGAAGATGGACTTGCGGAGAATACGATCGTCTTTCTCTGGAGCGATCACGGTGAAGGACTTCCCCGCGGCAAACGGTGGCCCTACGACGCTGGTATTCGTATCCCGTTGATTGTGCGCGGGCACGATTCGCTGACTGCTGGCAGTGCCAGTGAACAACTCGTGAGTCTGATTGACCTCGGTCCAACGGTGCTCTCACTTTGTGGTGTGCAAGCACCGGAACATCTACAGGGTCAACCCTTCCTCGGACCGGAGAAGATGGAACGCGACTATATCTTCGCGACCCGCGATCGCTACGACGAATCTTACGATATGGTCCGTGCTGTACGTGACAAGCGGTATAAATACATCAGAAATTATTATCCTGAAAAGCCGTATCTGCTCTGGATTCCCTATCGTAACCGGCACCCGATCATGCAGGAGATGTGGCGGTTGTATGCCGCAGGCGAGTTGGAGGGAGATCAGGCGGTTATGTTCCGTTGCCCGCGTCCGGCTGAAGAACTCTACGATGTTGAAAATGATAGGTATGAACTCAACAATTTGGCGGGTGATGTCGGACATCACGACGTTCTGGAAAGGATGCGCGGCGCACTGACACAGTGGCAATCCGATTTCGGGGATATGGGGGATATACCGGAAGATCAGATGGTTGCGACGTGGTACCCTGACGGAACACAACCTCAAACGGCGGCTCCAATTTTTATTCCGATTAACGCCGAACACCCGGGTATGGAGGTGGCACATGAGGGTGGCAAGTGGACAGCCCCTCTCGTTTTGCAACTCCACTGTTCCACCCAAGGGGCATCTATTGCTTATACAACGGAGCAGGGTGATGATACACGTTGGCAACTGTATACCGACCCACTACGTCTATCAAAAGGCGAAACCACCGTGCGCGCAAAAGCAATCCGCATCGGTTATCGTGAAAGTGAAGAGAAAACGATTCATCTCGAAGTTTTATAAGGAGAGTTATAAATAATGGCGCAACAAAATAGCCAAGACTATTTCGTCTATGTCGGCACCTATACACATGGGGATAGCGAAGGAATTTACGTCTACCGCTTAGACGGAGCGACGGGTGCCTTGGAATATAGCAGCAAGATCACAGGCGTTGAAAATCCGTCGTTTTTAGAGATACACCCGAGTGGACAGTATCTCTTTGCTGTCAATGAGCTGGGTGAGTTTGAGGGTGAAGCCAGCGGCGCGGTTACAGCGTTTTACATTCATAAAGAGACAGGAGAGAGATTGAGTTACCTCAACCAACGTTGCTGACCGGCGTGGTGGTGCTCCATGCATCTGAGTGTGGACGCGACTGGTAAATGCCTACTCGTGGCGAATTACGGTGGTGGAAGCGTTGCGGCTTTCCCCATAGCATCAGATGGCAGGCTCGGTGAAGCCTCCGATTTTGTGCAACATCAGGGATCCAGCATCAATCCGCAACGGCAGATGGAACCTCACGCGCATTCGATTATGATCGACCCGGGCAATCGTTATGCCTTCGCACCTGATTTGGGACTTGATAAAGTTCTCATCTATCAATTGGATGCGGAAAACGGAACGCTCACGCCTAACACGCAACCGTGGGTACGCGTGCAACCGAGCGCGGGACCGCGGCATTTCGATTTCCATCCGAATGGACAGTACGCATACGTGATTAACGAGATAGATTCTACTTTCACAGCTTTTCGGTACGATGCGAGCGCGGGAACGCTGGCTGAATTCCAGACAGTCTCGACGCTTCCCGAGGATTTCGATGGCACCAGTCATTGTGCCGATATCCACGTTCATCCTTCTGGGAAATTCTTGTACGGGTCGAACCGGGGACATGATAGCATCGCGATTTGCACGATTGATTCAGAGACGGGCATGCTGAGTCCCATCGGTTATGAGTCAACGCAAGGACAAGCACCGCGGAACTTCGGGTTGAATCCAGAAGGGACGTTCCTCTTTGCCGCTAACCAGCAAACGGATACGGTTGTCACGTTCGCGATTGATGCTGAAACCGGTGAATTAAATGCGACAGGAGACGTAGCAGAGGTGCCGACACCGGTCTGTTTGAAGATGCTACCGTGTGCTTAGTTTTTTAAGACGACGGGCGGGTCCAGAAACCCGCCCGAATAGACACACAGTTTTTTACGCTATTGGCGTTGCTGTCTGCGTTTCTCTTGGAGTCGATCCCACGGATAGATGAAACAGCGATCCGCCCAGTCTCGGTAAAGTCCAACAAGTTCATTTAGTTTTTGCGGATGCTTGGTAGCGAGATTGTTGATTTCTGTCCTTTCGGCTTCCACGTCGTAGAGTTCCCAATCGCCAGGGAACTTGCAGACCAGTTTCCATTTATCTTGACGGACTGCACAATTGCCTTCGTGTTCCCAATACAGAACCTCTTTACCGTTATCTTTCCCATCGAAAATCGGTACTAAGCTTGTTCCCTCTAATGGCAAAACCGGTTTCCCGTTGTGTTCCTCAGGGTAGGTTGCTCCTGAGACTTCGAGACATGTCGCCATGATGTCTGGCAATTGTCCGGGTTGATGGCGCAACTCTCCTCCCGATTTTATAGCGTCTGGCCAATGTGCGATCAGTGGCGTAGCGATACCGCCTTCGTGCACCCAATGCTTGTATTCGCGGAACGGCGTATTGGACAGATTTGCCCACGGCACCCCGTAACTTTGATAGGTGGTCTCGGGACCGGGCATGATGCTCGGATCATTGCCACGATAGACGGGTTGCCCGTCGGAGGTCGTCTCAGTACTGATGAGTGAATTGCTATCACGTATTGCGGGAGGTCCTCCGAGTTCTTCGGCGCAACCACCATTATCGGCTAAAAACAGGATGAGCGTGTTGTCGAGTTGCCCGGTCTCTTCCAACGTGTTGATAATCCGTCCAATGCCTGCATCCATACGGGTGATTTGCGCGGCGTAAACCTCCATGCGGCGTTGATTCCATTCCTTGTATTGGGCATCGCTCCAAGATGGCTGTGAGGGATCACGCGCCGTAAGTTGCCATGCCTCGTCTAAAATCTTCATTTCTCGCATCCGTGAGAGCCTTTCTTCCCGGAGTTCGTCCCATCCCGCAGCGAAACGTCCATTGTAGTAGGCGATGTCTTCTTCGTGCGCGTGCAGGGGCCAATGCGGCGCAGTGTAAGCAACATAGGTGAAAACGGACGATCAGGAGTTTTTTCGGTATGGTTTCGGATATACGTCGCTGCTTCATCCTGACAGCATCTGTGAAGAAGTAACCCTTCAGGGAGCTCATCGTGTTCGATACGGGTGTTATCGCGCGTCAGCGTGTTCGGTTTCCAAAATTTGCAGCACCAGTGATAATACCGTAGTACTGATCAAACCCACGTTGGCGGGGCCAACTATGCTTGGGTCCATCAGCACCGGTATGCCGAGAGATATGCCATTTGCCGCTCATATAGGTACCGTACCCTTCTGAATGGACAGCATCAGCAATGGTTACACAGCGATCATTCAGATCTCCACGGTAGCCTTCTAATCCATCGTCGCTCGTCATGTGGCCTACCCCAGTTTGGTGTGGATGTAGCCCGGTAAGCATGGAGGCACGAGATGGACAACAGCGTGCGGTATTATAGAATTGTGTGAACCTCAGCCCGCCTGTGGCGAGTCGATCCAGATTCGGGGTGTGAACTTCGCCGCCGTAGCAACCTAAGTCAGAGAAACCCATATCGTCGTTCAGGATGAGGACGATGTTCGGCGAATTAGAAAGTCTGTTTTCGTTCATGGAATAAAGACCTCTTTCATTTGAAAAATTGGTATTGCTTTTGGTGATACGGTATGTTACTATAAATTAAAAGAGACCAATTTGAAGAAAAGATACCTAAGCTGAAAATACGCAGCAGCCATAAAAGCGTAAAGGCTTTATTAAACAGAGCGTTGCAGGACTATGGTAAAACCTACAATTACTTAGACACTCTAAAGAGGCGAGGTTACAAACCTCGCCAGCGGCGGTGGGGCGCGTTTGCGGTCTACAACTTACTGAAGTGTCTACTTATTTATAGAATCTACCATAATAAATGCCCCAGAGACTTTCGGAGGTAAAAATGATTGCAAATTTGATTACACTCTTCCGTCTGATATTGGTTTTTGTTGTGATCTCCCTCTTTGGACTTCATGTCTATTTAGACATTCTGCTCGTGGGACTCATAGGTTTAATCCTATTCCTTGATGCGGTTGACGGTTACGTTGCTCGAAAACTGAACCAGACTTCTGCTTTCGGTGCGTTATTCGACATAGTTGGCGATCGGATTGTCGAAATGTATCTTCTGGGTATACTTTGCCGTTGTTGGGCTAATTCCGTTCTGGATTCCAGTCATCGTGATTGCCCGCGGCTTTTTCACAGATGGTTTGCGGAGTGCTGCCTTTGCGCAAGGCAAAACCGCCTTTGGTGAAAACACGATGATGTCCTCTAAATGGACCCGTGCGCTCACCAGTTCACGAGCGAGTCGTAGTGTCTATGGTATCACGAAAACCCTCGCCTTTCTTTATCTCGGCGGTGTCATTACACTCAAAAACTCAGGTGCCTTTCCCGAATTGGTCATTGGGCTGGAATTGGCAGGCGTGATTCTCTCTACCGTGGTTGTTGCCATGTGCCTAATTCGCGGGCTCCCCGTTTTGGTTGATGGCTGGAAATACGTCAAGGGTTAATGCTATTTTACTGTATCGTTTCTCAAGCCCACTTTTTGTGATAAGAAGGATCCAGAACGCTGAAGATTAGAGAATTGTCATCGTCTTGACATGCGACTGTAGCTACCCATATTTAGCAGCAAATGACTTCCATCTTCACTCGCAAGCGAGGTAAAAAGCAATTTTGCCGCTGGATATGCCGTTGCCGGTAGTATTTTATCTTTAAGAGTAAACATCAGTTGGTAGTGATGACATTTTCAACCTGCCTATACTGTCGAGTAAATTCTGCGGTCTCCATGGTATGATGGCTGTCTTCCGGTAGAGCGGCACTCCATCCGTCTGGGATCTGGATACGAATCGTTTTCTCAACTTGCGTTGGATAACCAAAGTCCAATGAATAGATGCGTTGGTCGTTAGCGAATACTTCAGCATATTCCCCAAATTCATCAATTGGTAAAGGCAGCAATATGTTGTTGCTTAAAGATGTTGCGTAATTCTCAACGCGAAAACCGAGTCTAATTTCCACTGGCACATTGAGTTCATTGAGGTCCGATATCTCGTGCCATACTATCTGGATACCGGGAAACTGTTGACTGAGTTCAGTGGCCAAAGTGGCTTTCACCGCACGAGGCTGTATCTGTTGATATGCCCACCGCGTATTTAGATCGTATTGACCGCTTGTTTGAATGTGGAGTGTCCCTTCTACGGTGCCTTTGCTGTTTAGGGTCATATCTGTCGTGCTCACAAGCCTATTGGATTCGGATGGGAAAACAGGTGTTTCCACAAATTCACCGTGCGTATCGGAAATGAGAAATCCTGTGCGTCCTTGCGTGTTATAAGGTAGGTCCCCGTAGCTACAAGTTGTCGAGGTGGGATCTAACCAAATATAGGTATTCGCTCCGGTAGGGATTGCAGCGATCATGTGATTAAATTGGTTAAGTGCCGGGAGCGTCGTGTCAACCCGCTCATAGGGTGCGACGCTAATCAAAACCGGGTAAGCCTTGATCCCCACCAGATCCAACATTGAAATCAGGAGTGTTGTTTTATCCTTGCAGTCGCCGTATTGCATTTGAAAGACTTCAGCGGCAGGTGAGGGTTGATAAGCACTCTGTCCAAGTTCAATACCAACGTAACGGATATTTGCGGCGACAAAATGGTAGATGGCGCGTATCTTTGCCGCTTCTGTCGCCAGATTTTGGGTTAACTGCTGGACTTTTTCCTCAATCTTAGCATCCGGTGTATATCTCCCTTTCGCAAGTTCTTTATACCACGTGTAGACATCATTCCAGTCGGCAATTGAAGAATAGCGCAAGCGTGGAACGATGTCATTACTATGTGGCATGCCTTCCTCTATTGTCAGTGCGGGTGTTTCGCCATACCTCCAAATATACACAACGGTGTCGTTTTCAGTGTAGGACACCTGAGGTTCTCGCGCGTTTGTGTTTGACGTGTCGTTAGCAATTTTCCATCGAAGATGCCACGTCCTGGGTATTTGAAGGGCGTAACTCGTCTCAAGCGTAGCTTCTGTTGCTTGAAAATTGTATCCCCCGGTAATCCATGTCTCGCCTCCAGAGACTTTATCTTCAAGTGTTACCTGATACTCAACGCAGACTCCCGGTGCGAGACCGACCATGGAAATGACCTTCCACATTGCGTCGGAATAGAGGTTCTGGGACAATAGTCCAGGGGGTGTTGCATCGTTAAACGCCTCATCGGGAGGGTACAGCACTGTTCCGTCCGCTGTAATTGTCCTTGCTATATTAACACCGATGTTTTGCGCGGCGGGTTGGTAAGGAATGGCAATATCCCCGTATTTTTGGATACCCCTTTCGGTGAGGATTTTAACGACTTGATGTGTTGTATACCGCGACTGCCCTGTGGGTAGGATATCATGGCTGAAGTGATTGAAGAGAACTAAGGTGTCAGCATCAGGATAATCGCTTGCGTCCGAGGCGTTCGCGATGATGTGCTCAACATCCGGATTGAGAAGCATGACGGGTGGCACATCGACAACCTCTGTCGGACCGAAGTTTTGCTGGGCGAGTGCTTGGAGTCGTGTTAAGGCAAGAAGATTGTCCGGGTCGACTTTCACAATCTGCTGGTATTGGAGCTGCGCCTCAAAGTAACGCTGCTGATTTTCAAAAAGTGCAGCGAGTTGTTCCCTCGCCCAAATATCGCTTGGGAATAGCCGAGCCGATTCTCGTAGTTCTGCGATAGCCTCGCCGATTTCACCGAGTTCCAGATAGATTAATCCCAAGTAGTTGTGCAAATTTTCGCTTTCGGGACGCTCACATCTCGGATCAAAAGACAATGCCGTGTGGAGTACCTCAATTGCTTCACCGAAGCGTTGCAACTGCTTGTAGGCTAAACCGAGATGATTCAAGGCGTAGAGGTTATCCACTGAAATGTCAAGGACTCGTTCGTAGTATCCGACCGCGGCTGTATAGTCATGCAATTTTTCGGAGATGTATCCGGCGTAGTTTAGAGCCGTAATATTTTTCGGTTCCAGTGCTAAAAATGCCACAAATGCGTCCCGCGCGTTTTCATACTCTTCCAGTTGGAAATATATCTCCGCGATTTTGCGTTGTACTTCGCTTGAGTCCGGACGCATTGCAACAGCGGTTTCGTAAGCAGTAAGCGCGGCTCGCAAGTTTTTGCGTTGTAGTTCGCTATTACCAATTTCAACCTGCTCTCGCCACTCGCGATTCCGTTCAACGAGTGGATCCACTATCAACGGAGTAGATGTGTTTTTTTGGAAAATTGCACACCCATCGATAATAAAAAGCAGGCTTAAGACTAAAAGTACGTTGCCTCTATGGAGCATCATTGTCCGTCTCCTTCGGCGGTTAGGTGTCTGATCCCCGGTTTGTCAAAAGTTTCGGGTTTTCGGTGTGACGTTTTTTATCCCGGCGTGTCTTTTTTTCCATTGACTTTTTGAATGCGTCCTCAAGTTCGATGCCTGTTTGATTCGCGAGACAGATAAGTACGAAAAGGATATCCGCCATTTCTTCACCAAGGTCCAAGTCTTTCTCATTCTCCTTGAAACTCTGTTCCCCATACTGGCGTGCCATAATCCGTGCTAATTCGCCGACTTCTTCCATTAGGATGGTGGTATTGGTTAACTCTGAAAAATAGCGGACTCCAAAGGTGTGAACCCAGTCGTCTACAAGTTTTTGGCAATTTTCGAGTGTATAGTCCATATCAGTTTTGGCTCCATTGATGACTTGTATTCAGGACTTACGGGGCGCGACAATCGAGTGCCTTGGCGGCATAGTAGTGCCTTCAAAGCAGGACGCGTAAAATCCAATTGTTAATATTTTAACAAGATTCGGAACATAAGTAAACCTTTTTTTGTCGGAGCATGTTTAACCAGACAGTCGGGTTGAAAATTTCTTGATTTTTCCGAACACGTGGTGTATACTTTAATATCACAATTTATTTAGGAGGCGAAATCGGTGCCATTTAGTTTGGTGAGCCAAAGCCTGAGGTTATGGTGTGCTAAATGGAACCAAGGAGACATTTATGGGACTCACGAGCAAAGAACAGCAGTTTTACGTGGAAAACGGCTATTTCCTGAAAAAGGGGCTTGTCTCTCCAGAAGACATCGCGCGTATTCAGGAGGAGACTGAAGATATACACAACCGTATGGCAGAACAACCTGCTGATGGTATCGGAATCTCTTGGGAAGTCTACGATTCGGAGGACCATCCGCAGCGTATCAAACAGTTGATGCACAGCGAGTTGGTGAGCCCGACGTTGAATCGTCTACTTCGTTCTGACGAAGTGTTGGATACATTGGAAGTGTTCATGGGTGAAAACATATCGCTCTATCACAGTAAATTACTTCCAAAAGCGGGTGGTGATGGGACAGCTATTCCGTGGCATCAGGACTACGCCTATTGGAAAAATGATAACAACAAGCCGGTTATGATTAATTGTCAATTGGCCATCAACGAGGCAAACCTTGAGAATGGATGCATTCAGTTTGTACCCGGCAGCCACAATTGGGGTTTACAAGAGCATGAAAGGAAACATCAGACCTTTGGGGTGTTTTTACCCGGTCACTATCAAGAACGGGAAGATGCTGTTGCTGTCGAGATGGAACCGGGGGACGCAGTCTTTTTTAATGCCCTGATTATTCATGGATCTGCCCCAAATAATTCGGCGAACGACCGGCTGATGAACACGTTCGCTTACAATGTAACTGGAAACGGTGAGACTCAATGTCGGGAAGTCTTACGCGGGAGACCTATCAGCACATGAAAAAAGTAATGGATGTCTGGAAAATTCTTTGGTTCTTGCTGATTGGTGTTGCGGTAGGTTGCGGTGGTGATGAAAGTAGCAGTACAAACGTTGCACCGCACATTCTGGTGTTTGAAGCAGAATCAAATATAGTTCCACCAGGGACAGAGGTGCCGATTCGCCTGGAAGCTAGCGACCTTGAAGGGCACTCTTTATCATATACGTGGACGGTTACGGGTGGCGACCTAACGGAGAACGCCTCTGGTGCCCTCTGGCACGCTCCGCAAACTGAACGGAAGTACCAGATTGAAGTTACGGTAAGCGATGGGGAAAACGCTACGAGGAGTACACTTGATGTTCAAGTGTGGCGGATCCGTCCTGGAGACTATTATCCGTTGGCTGTGGGGAACGTTTGGCATTACCGTGACGCAAGCGGTGCTGAGATTACTTTCGAAATTGTGGATACCATCCAGATTCAACGCGCAAGTGGGGAAGCCATTGAGAGTTTTGTCCTCCAGAAATCGAGTAAGGCTGAAGGTTTAGAAAACGTTGTAAACTACTCTTATCTCGGAACAAGTCTTGATGAAAAGGGTGAGGTTTCAGAGATTATACAGCACGCGCAGAATACCACATCCGGCACAAGTGATACGATTCTGTTTGTGCCGTATCTCCCACTATATCAATTCCCACTCATTCCGGGCGAGAGGTGGGAGGTTAACTTTCAGGCACAATTAGTTCCTGAACTTTTTCCGATTGGTGGTGGCCTCGACGAATTTGAGGTGATTTCAGAAGAGACTGTGACCGTACCAGCTGGAACTTTTGAACATGTCTTCCAGGTTCAGGAATCCTTTCGGTGGGGATTTGATATCGAAAATCAGAATTTTCCACTTGACATCACTGTCGTCAAAAAATGGGTCGCACCGGATGTCGGGATTATCAAATTTACACAATCACAGACTCGGGGTGATGTGACTGTCGACACGGTCTTTGAACTTGAGTCCTTTGAGCTAACCCGAAATTAAATCAGTGAAGAATACAATAAAAAAACCAGAAATTTTAACGACGACTGTGGGTTCCTATCCTGTACCGGCATGGCTCCTGTCAATGCCAACAGAGCAGACCCTGCTTGATGCGACACGGGTTATCGTAGACATCCAGCGGCAACGGGGTATTGACCTGCCGACAGATGGCGAACTTTACCGCTTTGATGCCAACCACCCAGATACCAACGGAATGATTGACTATTTCATCCGTCCGCTTTCTGGTGTAAGATCGGAAGTAGGGAGGCAGGAATGGCATGAATTTCGGCAGATGCAGACGATGTCGTTCCGTGCGAAACCGGCAGGGGTTGTTGAGAGTGCCTTGGGAGAGGGCACGTTAAACCTTGTTTCTGATTGTGAGCGCGCTGTGAGTGTATCTGGAAAGGATATCAAATTTACGGTAACGAGTCCTTACATGCTTGCACGGACGCTGTTGGACAAATATTACGGCGACTTTGATACTCTGCTGACCGCTTTGGCAGAAGTGTTAGCGACACAGGTCCGTGAACTGGATTGTGCATGTCTTCAAATTGATGAAGCGAATATACCGGGTAATCCACAAGATGGACCTCGCGCTGCCGAGGCGATTAATATTGTCCTTGATGCATTTGGTGGGGAGAAAGCGGTCCATTTCTGCTTTGGCAACTACGGCGGTCAGGTGATCCAAAAAGGGAACTGGGGTGCTCTGGTGGACTTCTTGAACATGCTCCGGTGCGATCATCTCGTTTTGGAGCTGCAACATCGTCCTAAAGTAGATCTTGAGGCACTCAGGGAAGTTACATCAGATATTGTCCTCGGTATTGGAGTGATTGACGTGAAGGTTAATCCTGTTGAAACACCTGACGATGTAGCAGCCAGTATCGAAACAGCGGCAAAGATGTTGGGTGCTGGACGGATTGGCTGGGTGCATCCGGACTGTGGCTTTTGGATGCTCCAACGTTCTGTGGTAGATCGAAAGATAGAGGCACTTGTACAAGGCAGAGATAAGTATTTGGGACTTACCTAACAAGAAGGACACAGATGTTTGAAGTTCAACTGCCGATGTTGAAAAAACTTCAGAATGTTGCTGGTGCTACTGCGGGAATAGGATTCATACTTGGCACGCTGATTCCTGCTGTGGCTATTTTTATTTTAGGCTGGCACTGTCCGTTTGGAGATGGAATTCTTCGGATCGGCAGTTTTTTGGTAATTGTGGGGTTCGGAAGTGCCATTGTTTTCGGTAACATTATTGCCCTTGTTCTAATCGGTTTTGCGAAATACCGCCAGATGCTATCCAATTCATCAAAAAAGTCGAAATTGACAGAGGAATAAAGTGGAATTTAACTTTTTGCACGTTCTCTTGCTTTTTGGTACAGGTATTGCCGCGGGTTTCTTAAATACAGTCGCTTTCGGTGGCTCGCTGATTGCCCTACCTGTGCTCATTTTCCTTGGGCTCCCCACCGCAGTAGCAAACGGTACCAACAGGGTAGCTATTTTCTTCCAAAACTTCAGTGCCATTATGGGATTTCGCCGTAAAGGGGTCTCTGATTTTGGCTATAGCATCCTACTCGCCATACCAGCGGTTATCGGTGCCGTGATAGGTGCTATAATCGCAACTGATATCAAGGACGCAGTATTCAACCTAATTCTTGCTGTTGTGATGATCACTATGCTGGTTTTAACACTGATCAACCCAACGGAGCGGTTGAAGAACAGGATTGAGAGCAGAGACAAACGTTCCAAGATCATCGCAATGGTCGTTTTCTTCTTTATCGGAATTTATGGTGGTTTCATCCAAGCGGGTGTGGGTTTACTTATCATAACGGCTTTGCGCCTTTTAACGGGTATGGATCTGGTTCGGACGAACGCGATTAAAGTTTTAGTTATCTTCTGTTATACCGTGGTCGCGCTCGGTATTTTTATCATGGAAAAGCAGGTCGATTGGGCCTTAGGTGTAACGTTGGCGATAGGGAATGCTACCGGCGCATGGCTTGGAAGCCATTGGGCAGTCGAAAAAGGCGATAAATGGATTAGAGTGGTGCTGATTGTCGCTGTTCTGGGTTTTGCCATTCGTCTCGTTTGGCTGAGCGTGAGTGGGGGTTAGCGACTCAATTCTTGATATGAAAAGATGAGACGGTGGATAGCGGTAATGTGTGAGGTGAGTGCGAGTATACCGAGTGTACAGAGAAGAATCATGCCTGTACTTTGGAGGATTGGAAATTTGTGTAAGAGTGCGCCTTGTAGTACAGTTCCAGCACCGAGTAAGATAATGCGTTCTGGTCGTTGCATGAGTCCTACCTTGCAGGTCACCTGAAGCCCCTCCGCTCTTGCCCTTACATAACTGACGAGTATTGAACCGAACCATGCGCTGAACGCGAGAACTATCCCGAGTAGACTTTCCAAACTGTAAAAGTAGATGAGGGCTCCAAGGAGAAGAAACCCTTCCGAGTATCGATCAATGACGGAGTCCAAGAGTGCGCCCGATGCGCGTGAATTTCTCTGTGCGCGTGCCACTGCCCCGTCTATCATATCAAAGCTTCCGCCAAACAGAATCAAGATCCCACCGGTGACGAGACGGCCTGTTGCGAAGTAAAAGGTCGCGATGAGGTTCACGACGAACCCGAAGAATGTCACCATATTCGCTGTAATACCGATTGCAACCATCTTATTTGCCACGGCAGACAGGATAATTTCAAGGTGGGGTTTTAATTTCGCTTCAAACATGCGGTTTCTCCTCATTGTGGAACGAGTTTGAAGAGAGCTCCGTTCTGCTTTTCGCTGCGAACCGTAAGGACTCTTGCCGATTTTTGACTAATTCTGAGGCAGGAATCGGTTCTGCTTGATAGAGAAGTTCCAAAATTGCGGATGCAATGCCCGTTGGGTGCTGAGCGATTTTCACCTTTTCGTGCTCAGAAAATTGCGTATCCGGCGGTGCTACGAGTACAACCCCATCATTCCATATAAGTTCTGGATAGGCATAAGTACTGTCATAAGCTTCGTCGAAAACCGTGATGATAGGGTGTGGCAATTTTAGCAGTTCCAATTCAGCGTTCTGAATTGCCTGTGCACAATCTAACGAGGTTCGACGTTGGACTGTAGCGATGTGTACAATAGGGCAGATTCCACAAAACAATAGGCTTTTTGAGGCGATGTGCCAGTATCGTTAGCCGTAAAAAACATCGCCACTCCGCAGCACCGTTCAGGCTTTGGGCATCGCCTTGTACAAGGATGACTTTGGTGTCCTGTATCCACGCGAGACCAGCGAATCTAAATGTTCCCTTACTTCCCGCCCTATCCCCGTAAAGTTTGATCGCCTGAGTGAAGGGTGGCTGAGGATATTTAGCGATATTTGATGACATATACCCAGGACCTTTAATCAGTAGCGAATTCTATAAAAAAGGCAGGGAGGTGCTTGAAACACCTTCCCTGCCTAAAGGGTGATGGGTTTCGCTTATTCGCCGCTACGTCCACCGATAGCGTTGATAGCAAACAAGCCGATGCCTGCTGCCACAGTCGTCAGAAACACCAAAGCGCGCTTGGATGAGGAGAGTTCCTCGTGGACACCTTGGGCATCCTCAAGCATCATCTTGACTTCGTTGATTGCCTTTTGATTGGCTTCAACGCTCGCCAAAAACATCTTCACGTTCTCTTCGATTGATTCAACGAGTTCGTGGGTTGCTTTTGCTTGCATTTTTTGTGCTTCAAGCATTTTAGCTGCTTCTTCAAGATGCATGTCAAGATGGGCAATCTGGTCAATGATAGCCGCTTTGTTCGCTGCCAGGGCTTCTTTGATACTGGAAGAAACTGCGTCACCAGATTGACTCACAGCAGCCATTAACTTTTCTTGTGATTTTAGGCTTGCCCCAAGAGCATCGATTTGTGCCCTGAGTTCGTCCATACTCTTGTTGAGTCCGTTAATTTCTGCTTCGAGTTTATCCCGCGTTGCTTCGGATTCGGCTAATTCTGCCTTTAACTTTTCAAGATCTGCCTGCTGCGCGGCAAGTTCTTTTTCAGCTTCAACGACAACCTCTTTTGCCATAGCGACCGGAATACGTAATTCTTCGCCGGGATAGATGAGGTGTGGATTAGTGAAGTCGTTATACTTGCTCAATTCGCGCCACTTGAGTGGATCCTTGAGATGCTTTTGGCAGAGATCCCAGAGGGTATCACCTTTTACAATGGTGACGAGCATAGTGCCGTCATCCCCCGCGTGGGGTGTGATTTTCGCAGATGCGGATAACACATAAACGCCACTGAGTGCTGCGCAAATGTACAGAACCAGTGCCAACTTCAGTGTGCCTCTTATCATTTTCATCAGTTATCTCCTTTAAAATCTATAAGAGAGGGACGCAAAGTGAGTCGATCCGACACCGTTAATTTCACTTGCCATGCCATCTTGAATGGCATAGTCAATCTGCAAGCCACCGATGTTCACGCCAAATCCTCCGAAGAGGTTTTGGGTATCGCGTGATGCTCTGGCCCCGCCTCGAATGGCAAAGGCAGTGGATTTGTAAGTGAGAATAGTGTATTCAGCACCGAGTCTTAGGCTCACCGCGCTCTCGTCAAGATTGACGAATTCTTGCTCAATATCGGCTGCGAATGTGACAACGTTGCCCATATAGAGGTTGTAGGCTGCACCAACGCTAACCACCATCGGCACAGTGTCGTCACCGAGGGCTGCCCCCAAGTATTTAGCAGCGATGCCGTAATGGAAGGTTGGGACCTTTTCCTCGCCTACATCTATGTGCAGGGCATGTCCCATCAGCCCGATATCTACGCCACCAAAGCCACTCTGGTTTTCAACTCCCTCTGCACCAAAGTTATCCGTCAGCATGCGGCCTGTTAAACCGATACCGAAGTTTCCGAAACCAATGCCGTAAGAGAGGGAATAGGCGTTCGCACTATAGTTGAATGTGCCACCGTAGCGTTCTGTGGCATCATATTGCTGGATACCACTTACACCTGCATTTGTGACAGCAAGTCCGATAGATCCGGCTGAACCGAGAGTTTTCGTCAATGCGATGAAGTTATGGCTCCTATCCAGATCAAGTTGCTGTGTTGAAAAATTGAGACTTAAATCCGCTGCGGAGCCGAGTCCTGCTGGGTTCCAAACGGTTGCGGTGGCATCATCAGCGATTGCTGTAAAGGCACCACCCATGCCGATCGAGCGTGCACCAGCACCAAGCCGTAGGTGCGGCATGGCATCCACTCCGGCAAAGCTGACCGGTGACACCGCTAGGATAAAAAAGAAAAGTGGTATTAAACCGCATAGCAATTTCGGGCCCTGTTTGGAAGCCCATTTAGCAATTTGCTTTGTCATTAACATCATATCCTCCTTCAGTGTCCACATCGGGAACTGGACAGATGTCCAATTCCCGATACGCAGACTGCCATTACTTAGCGCGTCAGTGCGAGTTTGAGAATGGCATATTCTGGCTCGAAACCGTCTGCCACCATAATTTGACAGAAGTAAACGCCTCGAGCTAAGTCTTCGCCAGCGGTGGTCGTTCCATCCCAACCGATTGCGCCTTTGCCAACGTACTCGCCTGCATCCCAAACCTCGTTATCTACAAGAACTCGAACTGGACGGAGCGTCGTATCGTAAATGATAATGCTCACTGTAGATTGTCGAGTTAGTGTAAAAGAGATACGAGTATTCTCTTTGAACGGGTTGGGTGCGTTAATCGGACGCGATGCCAATACTGGGCCTTCCTCACTCTCAACAAAGAACGTAAACTCGTGAACCGCCATGTTCGCTTCACGGGCACCGCTACTCTTTTCAGAAACGTTACCCTCTTTATGCGCCATGTCAGATACTTCAAGTTTTAACCGTATGTTGCCCGAAAGCGAGATCGATATCTGGGGTGTACATCACCTGCGATTGCCGACTTCTGATTCGGTTTGAGGTTAATCAGCTTGTCATCAAGAACGAAGCGGATAGAATCAGCATCTACACCGGATTCAGCATCGGCGTAGGTTATCGAAATCTGCGGCCGACGTTCAGTCAGGCGTGCCTCATTCTGTGGCGATGCCATCGTGATAACCGGTGCGGCAGTATCGAAGTCGATTGTGAAACTACCCCTTGCTGTGGCGGAGTTGCCGATGTATCGGTTGCGCGAACATCAATCGTGTAAGTTCCCTCGTCGAGAGGCTCTTCAGGAATGAAATCCAAGCGTGTGATACCTTCGACATCGTCTTCGCCATCCATCTTCGGTGTCACCCTCACTCTCTTACCATTACTAGCCATCAGGACGAGTCATCATTTCGTCACACGCCTGATTCATCGGTGGCACTCGCGGAGATGTTACCGGGAGAGTCCAGTGGCATCGGATAGTTCACTGTGGCGTAACCGATGGTGATTCTCGTAGGTGCGACGTATCGTATCGCAGCAGCCGTGTGAAGGTCCATGAATGCTACTCTTTTGCCGCCTTCGTCATGATAGCAGCATGACCTCCTTGACGTATGCGTCCTGCTGTGAAGCCATCGTGCAACCGGATACTTCGTCCGTCAGCGATCTGTGCGGGTGCTCACGGAGCGAAGCGGTTTGTCATCGTTACCAAATCTCACCACTGAGAACCGTGGATTCACGCATCGTATACATACGTGCTGAGTAGCGGTTACCCAACTTCACCTTTGAGGTCCAGACGGCGCCACTTCAGTGATAATGGCGGATTTTTGTTGTGTGGGTCTGCGGGAGTGCCGTTGATGATAGCGAAATCAGCGGAGCCTCACCGACGTTTCGAGTATATCGGCAACTGTATCGGTCATCTCGATACGCGCCACCTGGGATAGTTTCTCAGTGCGGGTGTAGGACTACAAGTGTTGTTCACTCGTCGCTTTCACGTGAGGCGTTAGGGCACAATGGTGCGCGGTCCGTTTACTGGAATGTCTGGTCAACATCCACAGCAACTTCGTCGGGTGGATGGAGACGTGCGGATGATGACGACGCTTCCACTGTACCGTCAACACCACTACCTTCACCATCGTGATAGGTTGCCGTGAATGACATGGTGGCATTGTACTAGCGACTGTATCGTCTTCCTGAAAGGTTGAATTCGACAGCGGACCGTGTTATCCAGAGTTAATCGTGCCAGCGGGAAGCTAACCGAACCGTGTCCGTGTGGTAAATTCAACAGCATTTCGGTGTATAGACACCATCGGACAATCCTGAAACATCTATTTTCAATGAGAAGGTGTGTTTTCTGGACTTTTCTTCACGATTCGCTTCTTGATACGTCATTTCAGGCACAGAACCGCTCAGATCTTCAGCATCTACCGAACCGTTATCGACATCAAAGCTACAGTAAGTGAGACCTCCGACCGGGGAATCGGTTCCGTGGCGGTCTGGAACATCCACACCCAGTCAACGGCTTGTTGTAACTGTCAAACTCCTAACGATCAGCGACTCGGAAGTTTAGCACGCTTCACCGTGTGGGCTGTGGAGACTCCATCGAGTTGCATAGTACCGAATGCTGTGGTCGGCACGGCGAGCGCGTGAAGCATATAGCCCCATTTTGCAAGCATCCCGACATCGGTGTAATGTCCAAACCCCGACTTCACCATCAATCACGGTTTCGGTGCCGTCGGCATCTACTTGAACTAACTTACCGAGGCATACGTGCTCGGGTCGGCTGTCGGTTCAGTGGTATAAGTTGCTATCGGGACTGAACTGTTTCATCAACGATTCCAACGACTGTATAGTTGCCATCTGCGTCTGCTTCAATAGCACCCGC